GATTTTCATGTGACTTCGGTCTCTACTGAAGATTCCTCATTAGTGTTTTTTATTGCCATGAGAACGAAAATTTGAACGAATAAAGTAAGAAGGTGCGTGGTCATTCTTTTGTTAATCCACTTCCGTCGATTCATTTAATCATCACTAAAAATTGAAAAAAATATGTCAAAGTAAAAGTAAAAACACAGTTGGAAGGACTTCATATACAACTATCTAAACTCTAAGGTTCGTCACATATGTTGGAAAGTTGCTCCCGACAACAAGTAAGCTGCAAAAATATCGACGTAGCGAACACTTCTTCGTGATTGCTGGGAAGTGCTAACTATCGCATATAGATATCATCGACGCCAATATTTCCATATTAGTTCTTATTAGAAGTTCCTTGTCGAGAGTGCATAGATGAGAGGAAAGCTCAAAACCTGAGTAGACCTGGTATCTAAGCGACAGGCTATGTTTCACGTCGTACCCTTCTTTGAAGGAACAAACAGACATTAATCAAAAAACTATGCCCTTTTCTACCCAAATCGAAGCCGAGCGTCAGATTGTCAACGACCACGCTTTACATGTTCCTGTGACATAAATAAGTTGAGAATGTGAAGCGATGTGTAAAACTTTTGCGTTTATCTGGTATGATGTTACAGTATACCTAATGATGTGGAGTGGTGTGCAGAAACTTGTGCGTCAGGCGGGACTCCAACCCACGGCTCACTATATCAGGGAACGCGTACTCTATCCATTGTACTATTCACATCTATTTTGGTGCTTGTTTGTAGCGTAGAGTACAGATCCATCTGCCAGCCGCAACCGTCAACGGCTTGGCCCGGGTAGTCGTTATCGACATTGAGACCAAACACGCTGAGAGATATTGAGTATGATGATCAAATGGAATTCTTCTTATTTAATTGCTTTAAGAAGTGACATGATGTTCTGAATAGACCCAGTGATGAAGAATTAGAATGATAGGGAGACACTCTTGGATCGAGTGAGATGTGGGTTTGAGTCCCGCCTGACGCAAAAGTTCTGCAACACAGCACCTGTTTTGCAGTTTAGTACAAAGCTTCTTTCCTCCTCAATTGAGGAATTTCCCAACACTCTTAGATTAACAATTAGTTGTATCCTCACTACAGGGTGCGGAAAAACCCGATAATTTTTTCAGTCTTACATTGAAAAATGGATAAATTCATCCGATTGAAAAACAGATTAGCAGTAGAAAAGATTGAAAAGCTTCAACTTCAATTTTAAGGGTAAATATTGAGTTTATTTGGTACTGTTTTATTATAGCGACGCCATTTGAAGCCTTCGGTAAAAACGTATTTTTTGCTATTGCACAACGTTTCTGTAGTTTATCGATAGCTCAAATCAAGTGAATTTCAATGGCTTTAATTTCTCAAATAGCTTATTTTTGGCGTCGTGCCAGTCAAAATAAGATTTTGTTTCTCATTTGAAGATTTCTCACTGGATAAAAGTTCTAATGCAATGGACTTTTAATCATTAGATGAAGAAAATCTTTCCAGTTATAATGGTATATATGGCTTTCAGAGAGGTCTTATTCGAGCTTTGTAACGACCGAAAGAGTATTCGGTTCCACACTTAGTGAGCACTTATAATCGGCTAGAGTGTGTGTACAGCTGTAATACCGAAGAGCAAAACATTTTCTTTATCAGAAAGATTTGCTCTATCTAGTGGTCAAAATTTTTTTGTAAAAAACTGTTATCAGGCTAGGAATCTTTGAATGTGAAACAAAATCTCATGTTGACTGTTACGGCGTTAAAAACAAGCAGTATGAGAAAATATACCTTTGAAATTCACTTGATTTAAATTATCAAATAATCACACATTCGTCAGATAACAGTAAAGAATACGCTTTTACCGAAAGCCCTAATTGGCTCCTCCATAACAGAGCAGTACCATTTAATTAATTGAAAAAGAAGATACGTTTAATAGTCCACAAGACCAACGATCAACATTAACAACAATAATTTTGACGTAACTTTCACGACCCTGGCGTGGGAATCCAAAACATCAACGCGAAAAACCCTTGATGCGCTTTGGATAAACGCTAAAAATCCAAAAATGAACCGTAAAGACGAATGCGCCACTGTAACACCAGGCCTGGCACCTTACATGCGCTTAATTTTCCGACTTGATCTAAGGGACGGTGCTTACGCATCGATCCTATCACCGACTCATACAAATTACCAGTATACGTTCAGGCTTTGAAGAAGGCGGTGTCGCCGAAACGTCTGCCAGCTATTCGTACATCGACTCTCAACAACAATCAACAACGACAACACCCATGTCGTCTACCAGCCTCGTGCCAGCTAAAGTACTAAGCTTCCATATTTGAATTAGACCATCGATTATTACAACAAACAAAAATGTTAATAACAAATCTTTAGAAACGCTCCTTTAGCTTCTATACAGTTATGAAGTTGCCTGAGAGTATTCCCAAAGATGTTCGTACACATTTCCTGTGTAATCTCGTCCCAAACGCGTCTAAGGTAGAGCAGCGACTGACCGAGACTTTTTCGTCTAGTACGGACCACATGGAGCAACATAGTGGGTTGAGATATTGTAGGTTTTTAGGCCAAATATCCTTGCTTCAGAAGCCTAGAAAGCGTTCTCGACAGATGAAAATTGTTGGGCGGGCCGAATGCGCAGGAGTTCAGTCGTGCTGAAGCGTAAATCCGTCGGTGCGCAAGTGTTAAGTACCCCACTGCCTCCCTCAGTACGCTCCGTTAAATTAACTGATGGCAGTATTGATTTCGATGATTCTGCTGACGAAGACCAACGGAGTTTTTTGGTGGCGCCAATAATGACCCAGACCATTACAGAGGGCGGAAAATAAATGCGACCTATGGATTTTACTACTGCGTACTTCTTCTGACCCTTCTCGAGGTTGACGTCAATTCTGGTGATTGTGGAGTGGTTCGACCTCAAATATCCCTTCATTCGTAGAAAGCACCACTGGCCAACGAGCGCCAGCGATTAAAGGAATCATTTGGTAACCTTATGAAAGTCGTTCTTCTTTGATCTGTTTTTCCGGAAAGTGAACAAAAAGATCTCGTAGCTAGGCCGCTTTAGTTTGTTTTTAACAATGTTTCGGACACTGAGCTAACTGATTTCGAGCAGCCCGAGCCAATTTGCTCATCGGAAGCTTCTGATTTCATTGAATCTGGCATCTACTCTTCTGAATGTTTTTCGAAGCAAATGCGGTGGTTGGACGATCTATTCGAGGACAGTTTGCGAACCGTCCATTCTCTTTGAAATTTGAAATCAGCCAATTTTGATAATATCAGCCGTTTTCACTCCCGTCTTCTGCCCCTAACTACTGCGATGCGCTGATCTTTTATTTGATTTTACGACCTATAATTTTAGCACACTTGAAAAAAGACATATAAAGGCAGATTCTAACTAAAATTGGCCAAATGATTCAATAAAATTATCAGTGTTGATAGAAATCATTATATCAATACTGAAATTAAAGAAATATAAAAATTTTACAACTTTTTCCGCAACCTGTCCTTTCTCTCATTCTCTGAACAAAGTTTTTGAACACTCACTCAGAAAATGAGCTCCGCAGTTGTTTTTCAGATACCAGTTTTCGTATGCCGTGATATTCGTAGAACGAATCAAAGGAAGGTAAAGCAGCAATAGCGAAAACGGCATCTAAAATGAGTTTCATAAATAACCGACATTTGTTCTGTGTGCTGACATTACACTTTTTTTACGACCTTTCATTGCAATTCATTGTGCAAATCTTAGTACTTCTAGCATTCATTCATCTCTTTGTATTCATCGTCCCAAAGGTCTTTGATCGATTCGCGCGATATTATACTGCCGTTCGAGAATTTTGCCCTTTTCATAGATGATATAGAATGTTGGTCAAGCAGATCTTCTTACAGTCTCAAAGAACTCAAAGTAAGGCTTTCCGTAGGGTACTCGTAATGACTGATTGCAGGAGTACTGGAAGGGGATTGGTTCGCGACCTCACATCCTGATAACATTCATCACTAATCACTCGGCTACTTCTCCCACTTTTGCTTTAGTTATGAATTTAGGAGCGGCTAAAAGTTACTGGCGTTTAGGCCGGATTAGTGAGCAGGAATATTTGTTGCCACAGCATTATTCCTCCTTCTGTGTTCCAAAATTTCAAAAAAAGTGAATATGTCGATGCCTTCCTTGCTGTGCGAAACAAAGGATGGACATCTCAACACCTATGAGAGCAATCAGAATGACAGACTTAAGAGTACAGAAAAAACAGAAGTGAGGGGTATGAGTACACAACGGTCTAATGAAAGAAAGAAAGATTCAAGTGAAAGATTCAAAGTATTTATTCAATTCACGAAGGCCAAAAACATCAACTCTGTGCTGTTGAATGTGACAAGGGTTAAACCTAATAGTGAACCATGCATGTGGCCGAATACCAACCAAGAGCAATCCAGTGTACAACACCGCCCACTCAGTGAGAAGATAAAGGATGAAGCTTTTGGCGTTGAACTATCCGAGGAATGCATCATGCATTCGCGTTCAATTTTTGACTTCGTTTGAGGTGATTGAATGCATATCTGGGCTTTAAAATGACTCGCGGTGGCCTCCCGTTGTACCGAGTCAGTGCTGCTTATCCTTCCAGACAATCTGAGACCAGTCTGGTACCAGGTTACCGATCCCATAGGGGCGGATGGCTTGGTGAACCATGAGCGCGAGATCAAACCATTGACCCGTGTGCGACATAGAGCACCTATAACCACTGCACCACATACGCTCTTCCACTAGGTGATATTTTCGTTTTATGGTGCGAGTAAAAAGCACGCCTGCGAATCCTCCATGTAAACGAACTCGCCCCTAAAAGTGTTGACTCAGGCGAAAGGCGTGCAACTGACGAGGCCACAAGAGCGAAACACATGTATTGCATTGTATGAATGCCTACATCAGGCCACATGTGTGGCTCAAAAGTAACCTATTAGATCCAATGATGTAGAGTGGTGTGCAAAAACGTTTGCGTCAACCGAGATTTGAACCCAGATTTCACTCTTTCCGAGAGCGCGTGCTAAACCGTTGCATTACCGAAGCTCGTCTTGCACACCTCTCTTTCGAACTACAACGCGTCTGTCAGCAGCCATCCGTCTTCGGTCTGGCGTGGGCAGTCATTATCGACATTGAACCACTTATGTTGGCAGATATTGGGTTTCAATAATCAATCAGAATTCATTGTATGTAGAGTGGTGTGCAAAAACGTTTGTATGTAGTGCAACGGTTTAGCGCGAGCTCCCGTTAAGCGTGAAATCTGGGTTCAAGTCCCAGCTGACGCAAACGTTTTTACACACCACTCTACATCATTGGGTTTACTGTAACATCATAACACCGCAAAAGATGGTCAAATAAAATAATTTCTGATTGATTATTAAAACCTATTAGATCATCTAACGTTGTTTACGTGCAAAAGGTTCCTGATACGAAGTGAGTGAGAGTGTGTGTATGATCATGTAATACAATAAAAAGGATTAAGAATAAAGCTCTCGGCGATAATCAATTTCTGAGGGATGCACCATGCATTCGTCTTGAATTTCTAAGTCCATTTAAGGTGAATGAATGCTTATCTGACCTATACACTAACTCACAGTGGCCTCCCGCTGCGTCGAGTGAGTGCTACTTATCCTCCTAGACAAGTCTGCAAGCAGTGCGGTACCAATTTGCACCATTGACCTTGTGTGCGACACAGTGCACATCTAACCACTGAGTTATATGCGCTTCATATAATTCGATAAAGAATACAAAATGAGCAATGCGACGCGCAGAAATTGCGTGTTATAGTTTACTATCTACATTTAGACGTTTGAATTGTTTTACCATTGAAATAAGAACAAAATAGATTTAAAGAAAATTAGCCAAATAATTCATTTGACGTGATTTAGCACGCCTTTGTTCCATGGAAGGCGAAATCGTCAAAACGTGAGCCATCATTTTCGACAAGAAGAGTACACTATTCTCCGAAAGCCCAAACAAGGATGCATCTCAAGACAATGTCTCTATCACATTAAACCAGTGCGAAATTTTCATATATATATATATATATATATATATATATATATATATTTCCACAAAAATACCGTTCTATCCAGAAGTCACAAAAAAGGAGTGTAGAAGCACATCGACCTGGCCGGTGGGAAGGGAGGTGGGTGTGTGATTACTCACTACCATTCTTGGAATCCCATCCCGTTGAAAAATTGAAGGTTTCTATATAGATTCAAGGTTTATTCTGAAAAGGCTGCAACAGCTCGTATTTCCTTCGCGCGATAGTAAGCAAGAGGTTGATTTTGATAACAAGTACAAAAATATTGTTTGCTCAGCATTTATTTCAATCTTAAAGCCATTTATAATTGTCTGCGTGGGGAGATCTTCCATCATCAATGGCGACTGAACAACAGTCATGTTATTATGATCATACAGGGACAAACACATGAAATGAACTACGAAATGTGAAAGGATACAGGCTGCTTTTCGTTCACTGCAATCTCACATTTTCCTGCTATTATTGTTCATCTCATAGTGTGAATACGTGGCTATTCATTTACAGAGAAACAGATTATTCTGTATGAAAATGACGAATAAAAGAATGACAAGTGCATGAAGATGTCTTGCCAAAAACGGATTGCATTTTTTCAAACAATATAATCAAAATTCTTACTTGGCAAGCAATAACAACCTTTATACTCATCTTTAACCATCGAAGAAGTAAAAACTTCAGTGTGGGCGTGGGCAAGTGATAAGGGAAGCGATACCTCTGAAACGTATATGGCTCTGATGTAACAATTCGCTAAGGCTTTAAACATTCTTATAGACTATATTTAATGTTTATGGCGAGGTTTGAAAAAACAGTTGATGAGATGGATCAATTTATATCTGCCAGACGCTGTCCATCGACTAAAAAAAGTGGTAATAAAACAATATCGTGTGCTATAACCACATACGTCTCCCCATTCCCGCCATAAAGTAGGGTTCAGTGTGGATCGCGGATCATTCATGAGAGGGATGATACCTTCGAAACGCGCATGGCTCCAATGTAGCAACCTCGGTAAGGCTTTGAACATTCTTACAGACAATAGTGATTGTTCATAGCGAGGTTAGGAAACAGTCAGTGGAAGAGACGGATCTGATGAAAAACTAAGGGAAAACAAATGGAGGGTTTAAGGTAACGAATTGTTTCGCAACGCTAAAAAGAGGAGCTGAACGTCCTTCTGTGCAATTGCGAGGAAAAAGAGTGAAACTGATAGCAAGCACAAAGTTAATCTGATCACTATCCGTATTGATTATACAACCATTTATCGTCATCTACATACGAAAAATTTTCAATAATAAAGGCGATTGAAAACATTCATGTTGATATGATCACATTGGGAAGGACAATTGAAATGAACTACATGACGTAAAGAGATTGTAAGCTGTACTTTGTTTAAGGTCTTTATTTACTTCCTTTTTTATCATCATTTCTTCTATCGAACGTGAATGTATTGTTTATTCTTTTGCAGGAAAGCTATTGGTTTTATATGAAATTAGCATAAAAAACGAAAAAGAGCAAGATGATATCTGTCAAGTAAAAATTCTATTCTATAAAACATTTCAGCCAAAAAGGGTAGTTTCCATCCGTATCTTGTTTGTACCCCTCAAAGAGAACATATCTTTGAGTTTCTTTATAGTTTCAGTCATTAATCGATAGCTTATAATAAAAGGATTTGAACGGCGTATTTAACTTCCAAAATGGCTTCGTTATTGAGTTGTAACAGCAAAAAAATGATGCTGCTCATTCAAAGATATCTCGCTGAGCAAAGCTCTTCTTTTGAACTTTCAGTAACAATTCGATAACCTATGTCTAGACGATTCCAGAAGAATTTAGATTTCAGGAAGAAATCTCTATTACGCTGTAACAGTCACAAAAATATTAAGTTGCATAAGTTTGGTTTTTTTGTTTCTTGCACCTTTTTCCATCCTTTGAAAAATGTGTCTTTCAGTTTCCTTTCAAAGCTTAGATTTATCTAAAAGCTCAGACCTCAGAAATTCCAAGGACGCATTTATTTATGATACGGCTTTGTTTCCGCACTAAAACAGCAATAAAATTATGTTTTTCACTCAAAAGTTTCTCGCTGAACTGAGCTTCTCTTTTATATTTTAGTAATCATTCAACAGCTTAAATCTGTTATTTCAATTAAGTTAATGGTTCCTGATTTTCTTCCTTGAGTCAAACACGAGGTGTTGCGTTAATCTTTATTTGACAGCTGACGTTTCGGCAGTTCGCCTTCTTCAGAGCCTGGAAAGCTCAAATTGTCCCCAATCCTATCAGTCAAACACGTCCTTTACTCCTTTAGAAAAAATCACCACACCTGATTTCAATCGCATCAAGCACAAAATTAACTCTCAACATATTCACCGTTTTCTATCTTGGGAATAAGCTGATGGCTTTGAAAAGAACTTTTTGTAGCGCTGTAGTAGCTGAAAGAAAGTTATGTTTCGCTCAGCGAGGTACTGATTCCAAAAAAACCACGCTTTTCCGGTATGTTAATAGGATTTTGCAACACTGCACTAGCCACCGCGCCATATCGGGTGTCAGATGGCAAAACGCAATACTCCTTCAATGTTACAGCGCAATATGAAGTTTATCAAGTTGTCGAATAGAAACTAAGAGTCTAGATGAGAAATTGTTAAATGAGAAATGTTCAAATGAGAAACATAATTTTACTTTTGCTACCAGAGTACAATAGTAAAGCCATTTTGAAAGTGAAATGCACCATTCAGTTTTTTTATTTGAGCTATGGAACAAACTCTGAAAGCAACCAGAAAGTATGCTTTGTTGAAGTGGTTGAAATTGGGTGCGAGTGACGGAAAAGTGTCTTGAAATGTTACAAAATCGTGAAGTTGAGGTAAAGCTGTTATGAGCCGTCTCAACATATATATATATATATATATATTATTTATTTATTTATATAAAGTACTCAGAGAGACATTGACACACGTGCCTATATCCGGTTTGACGTTTTGCCATTGGCAAGCTGCACATGAGTAATAAATGTGAAATCCCTATCAACTGTATCACTTGTAGTCCCTTGAAACATCGAGTTACTGGAGTGAACGTGAGCAAAGTCTTCACCCGTTCTTGTTGTGCGCAGCAGTAGCGACTCGGTTAATAAGGAGCGATTTTTTACCTCGCCTATGTACTGACTATTTCGACCTATACACTAACGCAGAAGGAGTTGAACTCGAAAAGGCAAAAGCGGAACTGCGCGTTCATGATATGTTCATTATATCCAGGGTGCTCTCAAAAGTTTCCCGAGTCGGTGGTTTCCTTGCACTCAACTCTGGAGCTACGTCTCTCATCATATTGACTTTATGACATGCATAACAGGAGCATTCCGATGATATAACTCCATCCAATATTGTTAGGGATCAGTAGCGATTCAACTTCACTTGTACTTCGTTTTTAGAAAGATTCAGTCAAACATCTTGTTTTTTCATTGCAAAAGATTTATTCATTATGAGCTGCTCTCAAACATTGAGAATAAAACTGTGAACACACATACATAAATAAACATGGCTACATACAAACAGGAAGTGCATGCTATTATCGGCGCTGTAGAAATGGAATCTATCTCGTGGTCTTGATTCTTCTCAGAGAAGCATATTGCTGCTTTGGGGCCGCGTCTAACTACGCAGCACCTGGAGAATGAAACAAATGTGTGACCTATCAAGAGATGAGATCTTCTGTGGAAACTAATCAGAAGAAAAATATAACAACAATAAAAATCTCATTTCGGCATCTGTTCGAACTCAGCCATTAGTCGTTGTTATGCAAAAATGGCTGCTGCGGCTTCAGTGCCGTGTGGTAATAGTGTTTATATGCGAAAGAGTATAGGACGAAAAGCACCTGAGGGCTAGAAGCTCGACTACCAGTTTACTTGTTTCACTCCTGCGCTAATCACGGACAATGATGGACCATTTTGCGCATGATGACAACAATGACCCACCGTAATCCCTGATTCACGCATTGTTCCAAACTGCGAATATCGTTGGTTGACGTAAGCATCAACACAGTCTTCTCTTCGTGCATTCTGCGGGAGTGCCTTTCACTATGTCTCTGTGGATTTCAGGAACGTTCTCATTGAGGAACAATCTTTTATCTTAGACTTAGAGAGATGTCGCTTTCCACAAAAAGCGATGCAGAATTAACATGCAAATGTCCACTAAGAGAGCAGAATCTCCTCTCGTTTTTGATTCTCGTCATTTGACGTGCGACGTTCCTTTCTTCTTCGTGTTTTCCATCACAT